CCTGCTTGCAGGGTGAGGTGGTGAGAGTGAGGGGATGAGAGGGTGGGTAAGGGAACGGGCTCACAAGGTGAGCAGGCGAGAATTTCTGAGGGTGAGGTGGTGAGGGTGAGAGGGTGAAAGGGTGAGATAGTAAGGGGTGAGAGGGCAAGGAGGTAAGAGGTGAGTTCACAGGGTGAGGGTGAGATGGCGAAGGGGGTGGCCTTTAAGGGTGAGGGATATGTGGTGAGGGTGAGGGGTGGGCTCACAGGGTGAGGTGGCGTGGGGTGAGGGGTGAGGTGGTGAGGGTGGCAGGCTTCAAGGGTGAAGGTGAGGTGCTGAGGGTGCAGTAATGAGGAGGGATGTGGAGAGGGGGCAGGCAAGGTGAGGGTGAGGTGGGTAGAGGGTGGGCTTAAAGGGTGAGGGTTAGGGGGCGAGCTCACAGGGTGAGGGTGTGGTGGCATTAGTGTAATTATCAGATTCAAATGTGACCTGTACGTATGCCAGACTCATTAAAGGATACGTTTCAGACGTGGAGCTCTACCACGAGGAAACGTGGGAGCTGATGCTACGACGCTGGTCCAAACTAGAGAAGGACTTCAAGACGAAGACTGGCCTGTTCGACATCAGGTGTGATTTTACCCGACCACGCTTTCCTTACCTTACTTATCTATGACTGTTACATTACATAAATTTTTTACCTGATGGTATTTTATTTACTTACCTAACCTTAATATGACTATATATGTTACACCGTGTATATTTTTACCTGACTATGTTTAACTTACTTTTCATCCTTTACTATGACTATATTACACCAAGTATGTTTTTACGTGACTGTGTTTTACTAACTTACCTTACTTTACTATGACTATGTTAGGCTAGGTAGGTTTTTTGTAACTATGTTAGGCTAGGTAGGTTTTTACCTGACCATGTTTTACTTACCTTACCTTACTATGACTATGTTAGGCTAGGTAAGTTTTTACCTGACCATGTTTTACTTACCTTACGCTTCACTGCTCGATTAGTTGATTACCAGTCGTTTTGGCATTGTCGACTTTCTCTCTGTACATCCTTCCGCTGTCTTGCATTGCAGTAAGATCCCGGACATCTACGACTGCATCAAGTACGACATGCAGCACAACCAGATGCACCTGCATTTCGATGACACGGAGGAGCTGTACCTGTGCTCTAAGTCACTCGCAGACATCATCATCCCGCAGGTAGGTGCTGTCTCTCCTGGTGAAGAGAGTAGTGATGTCCCGATGATCGATTATAATCGAAAGTCAGTCGTTTTGCAAGCGATTGACTACTCGCTCGATTATGAAAATAAATAATCGATTATTAAGAAAATGTTAAATTTAATGTGTGTCAATTTTTGTGTTTTTTCGGTTACTTTACAGCTTATGTCTAACCTATACCAAACATAAACAAGTATAATACTGTTACATAGCTTTTAGAATATTGTATGATAAAAAATACTGCATATAATGATTGATATATAATAGGATATATTTCAATATCTGGTAGCTGCAATCAATAACCTAAAATCAATTATCTTTGATCATTGATCGGTGGAGTGTAACCCATGATCGATGATGAAATTCCAACTGATTCCCATCACTAGAAGAGAGGGCCCATTTATTTTTCTATTGCCGACAGCTGACAAAGGTCGTGCACTTATTTCAGCGAGTAAACACGATTTTTCTAGGATGCAAAATGTTCCAGTCATTCAAGTCTACCTATTTCTCAATCCTAGCTGACACTCTGCGTAACAGGCGTGCCGTAACATCTGTTCAGAGATCTCTATTATTCACTCCTGATCTGCTGATACTGTAAAAACCCGTGTAGCAACAATGCCGTGTGAGGCCTGCTCTGTTACGCAGCGTTACTGTTGTATAGGAGTACGGGATCACCGTCGAAGACAAGCTGACCATCTCGCAGGGAATCTGTCTCGCGTTGCTGCGTAAGATTCGCAGCGACATTCTCAACGTAATTACTCCTGACGAGAGCACTCACAGGTGAGCGCACGCTCGTAGTCGCCTTCTTATCACCTTGCAGCTGATTATCACACTCTGATGCACGAGAAGGAGAATGATGGGATGTTTTGCGCGTGTGGAGGAATGGGGAAGGTTCTGTGCGTGTGCGTGTGCGTCCGTGCGTGCGTGTGTGCGTGCGCATGCTCGTATTATTAATTCATTCATTAATGTGTCTAATGTTCAGGCTGAACGACAAGTACTGTAATGTCGCCCGGATGTAAGCCTAATCGTCTATTGTCATAATTAATTAATAGATAATAATTGTGTCTAATGTTCAGGCTGAACCCCAAGTACTCTAAGGGCGTGATGTCGCCGGGCCGCAACGTGCGCACGCGGCTTTACTTCACCAGCGAGAGCCACATTCACTCACTGCTCAACGTGCTGCGCTACGGAAGCCTTGTGAGCAACCCGGAGGATGAGCAGTGGCAGCGGGCGATGGAGTACGTCAGCTCGGTGTCCGAGCTCAACTACCTGACTCAGGTGTGTATAACCCTAACAGTATAGGTGTGTATAACCTAGGTGTGTGGGGCGTGTGTTACGTTTGCTTGGATGGGATACGTCAGCTCAACTACCTGACTCGGGTGTGTGTAGTTGAGCTACCCAATGTGTCACCTATGCTTGGATGAAATAGAGCAGCTTTGTGTTTTAACTTTATTACCTGAATAATGCACATCTTGTTATCTACCCTGCGTGGGGGTGGGGGTGCCTTTGTGAGAAACACGTTTGTTGTACACAATTATAAGTTGTACATAAAAAAATGGCATGTACTAATACTTAATGTCAACTTAGTTAGATGTGTCAGTACAGCTAATATAAGCTCGTATAGTGTTACAATTCTAAATGGTGAGCGTGTTTTATCGTGTTTGCTTTTAGATTGTGATCATGCTGTATGAGGACCCGTCCAAGGATCCGCAGTCCGAACACCGTTTTCACGTTGAGCTGCATTTCTCCCCTGGCGCCATCTGTTGTCTGCCGGAGCATTGCAGCGGCCCTGGATTCAGACCTCACTCTCGCAACGAAAACGTGAGTTTTCTCACCGATTTATCATCGAAGCGATGTGTTTCAATGTTTGATGGTTGTGTCCGTCACATGAGTGCACGCGAGCGGTGACGTCAAGCCTATTCGCGTTGTTAGTGTTGCGTCGTGATGTGTTACCGTCCACCCGATGTCCAGGTGTGTGTATGTGGGAAGCTGAGTGGATGATGATGTGAACATATAGAGTGCAGTCTATGTCGCTGGGGAGATGTATGCATAATGTGTTGTAGATATACCATTGCGTCCTAATTTATTTAGTCTGAATTGCCTAGCATTATGGGTCCGATCGTCAACAATTCTAAATCTAGGAAATCTATGACTTGAAATGAAAATGGGACTACGATTACTTTGAACCAGTGTAACTCTATGTAAAAGAATTACGGTTATTGCGTGATGTAAAATTAATTTATATGCTTCGCTATCTTTGTAAAAGCGCCATTTCATTGCTTACGTTCACTCTGTCTGTACGAAATATTCCGAATTCTATACAGATTTCGTGGGGTTGGACCTATCTTAGAGTTAGGATAAAATCTGGTGGGATTTGGCATTTTACTAACGTTACAAATTTTCTGACAACGGTTTAGGATGACCAGTTGCGACATTCTAGACTTTGGATAATCGTGAGTACCTTTGTGGTCATCGTGACAACGGCTGCCTGGGCAGCATTGGCGGGCCACGGCGTTGCTTTTGTTTCATTAGCAACTGTAGAGGGTTCCGCGACTTGCACTAAAAATAGTAATATTACCTACAATCCCGTGCCGCCGGCCATACTGGTAGTCAGAACACGTGTTACCGATATGCGCTATCTAGCAATTTTACATCGATAGATTGTACATACGATAGTGTTATTATAGTAATCTATATTAGCAGTAAGTGGATCTCGGTTTTGCAGACAGGTTTACCAGCGCGTGTTGGGGTGCTAGAGTTCGATATGATTGTGCAGACCCGGTTTTACAGGGTGTTGCAGGCAGGTTTATCAGCGTGGGTTGGGGTGCTCCGCTAGAGTTCAATGAGATTACACAGGTCCGGTTTTGCAGGGCTTTGCATGCAGTTTTATTAGCGTCGCGAGATTGCACACAACACATATGTTCATGGACTTGAGTTTGTTTACATCGCGAGTGTTCAGAAATTTCACCGATTTTACTGCATGTAGCTATACCAAACGCAGCGTTTTATAACATCTGGTGTATGCATATTTGCCAACTGTCTGAAGTGTACGTAGTATGGACAAGTACTTTGATTCACTAGACAACGTAGCCAAAGCATGCTATCTCGAGAAAATTGTGTGCATTGGGAATCGACACCCGTACGAGAATCGAGCGAGGACCACAACTTGTGCCCATCATGCACGTACTTATTTGGATCTCGTGAATTGACTACCTAACATTCTAGCCCAAACCATTTTATACTCTCAAGGACTTTCAGAACCTCAAAAGCCTGGACGCCTACGATCGACTGCTCTGCGGTTGGGTTAGTGGTGTATCAGTCTACATGATACATCTATCATGTGAACTGTGAGAGTCCCATCTACGTTATCCGAGCACGTGTTATGCACTACCAGTCTCTGACTATACCATCTCTCAATCCGTGCATGGGTCACGATGCGAGAATATGGGACAGGCATCATGTCAGCACACTGTAATTGTATAGCCGGGCTTGGTGAATTCTGTTCACATGTTGCCTCAGTGCTATTTTATGTAGGGATGTCACGGTCAAAGGTGCAATGGGGCCAGGGCAGATTTAGGACCATTTTCTCTGAAGGACAGAAATGGTCTGACAGAGCGGAAATTGAGAAACTTTTTTTGCTCTCTCAGCGGTCCTGACCTACATTTTTTATGGCTTTAATTGAAAGGACCATGAAATGTACTTTCGGCTGAACATGCGACGAGTAAAAGTGTGCGGATAACTTTGACACCTCAAGAGGACAGGGTTAAACATGATTTGTTTCTCGACATGGCATTTCCGCAGAAGTACCTGTGGTGTGGGAAAGCTACCCATTTTACAGTGAGGAATTACGCACACATAAAACTCGTTACTTGAACAACGCTTAACTTATGAGGAGATAATAGAATGACTTATATATGAGATTCTGTAGTGTACATTATGAATAGAGTTGGAATTACAGTCACATAGCACTTCAAATTAAATTACCCAGGAGGAGGCTCCGGATTTCCCAGGACTTAATTTTTCTCATCAAATTTGGCAGCGCAAACTATAGACGCAAGTTGTGTACGATTCTTGACTTATTCCGGTCCACATTGCAATCACTCGTACCTTGTACTGAAATTAGTTTACAGATTATTTGCAATCGTATTGCTGAAATTGGTAATTCTTGCACAGAGCTGCTCTGGGTTGTATCAACGGCAATTGACAGCTAATTTTTT